GGAATACTACACAGCAATAAAAAGGAAGACCTCTTACCATTTGCAAAAGCATGGATGGACCTGGAGAATATTATGCTGAGTGAAATAAGCCAGTCAGAGGAAGATACGTATCACATTATCTCACTCATGTGGAACTAATGAACCAAATAAACTGATGATCAAAAATAGACCCAGAGACATAGAAGCATGAGCAGATTGTTGAATCTCAGAGGGAAGGGAGGGGAGGGTGGTTGGGAAAAGATCAACCAATGAACTTATATGCATGCATGCATAACCCATGGACACAGACAATGGGGTGGTGAGGGCCTGGGGAGTAGAGGGCAGATGGGAGCGGGTTGGAAGAGGTTAATGAAGGAAAAAGGAGGACCATATCTATTCTGTCTTCAATAGTCAAGACACTTGAATATCAGGGTTCATGAGCTCAAATTCTAACCACAAAGCTAACTTAATATCTCTGGGCTTCAATATCCTCAGTAGAAATATTAGAGAATATTTCTTGTTCCCAGGGGGAAAAAAGCACAACAGAAAAACCAGAAATCCTACTGAAAAGAATCAACAGTAGACTAGAAGAAGCAAAGGACCTAATCAGTGAATTAGAAGAAAAGGTACAACAAAAAATTCAGAGCAGCAATTGTGTGTGTGTGTGGGCGGGGCGGGGTGGGGGAGCAATAGGAGAGTTTAAGGGAGCTTTTGGACAACATGTAAGTTAACAACATCTACATAAATCAACAGCAGATTAGATAAAGCAGGAGATCAAATCAGCAAATTGGAAGTAAAGGTAACAGAAAATAGCCATAGGGTGACTACAATATCTTCTTTTCCTTCCTTTCAGTTGCTAAATGTTAATTTATGTCTTACTTAATCCTATAAATACTTATATATTAAGTAACTTTACCTTTAAATCTAATATTTACCCAATGTACTTGAAGAGAATTACTGTATCAACTAATCCTTTCTACAATGTTTACAGTTGGGCAGTCATGTCAGCCATGGAAGTCTTGTGGTATTTATTTGTGTTTGTTTATTTCAGTGTAAGCCTACACCCTGTTAAGCTCACATCTTCCCTATTCATTGGAACATTTGCATTGGCAAGATGGATCATTATTTTGTTCCTTCTCATGCTTCTTTGACTTGTTTACCTCATCACCACTTTAGAGATTTTAAAATTAGATCCAGGTTCATGGCAGCACACAGCACTCTGTGACTAGATCTGAGATTGAATGACTACTTTCTCATTTCAAATCTAGGCCCATTCCCTCTTGAAAATAGCCCACCTGTAGAGTCTAGCCAGTGTAGTGTCTTTAAGGAGACATCAACAGACTTATGCCTCAGGGGACAGCATGTATTTTGAATTTCAGGTAAATGGTGCCTCCCTTGCATCGTGGAAAATGTCGACCTGACCTGAGTACTTGCAGTTTGAAACCCCAGAGGAGTGCCGTGGCTATACCAAAGTCAAAAGCCACGATATACCTTGCCAATATCATAAACAGATGGAGCACACAAGTTTTAATGAAACTTTTAAAACAGCTATAATTCTTGATTTTTTAATTGATATTTAAGTCTTAGTAATCTGTGGGACCCTCAGGTATTTGTATTTTGATTGAAAACTTGTAAAAGGAAAAGGCTTTTAATGCCCAAAGCAACTGTCTCTAGTTGAGGAAATCCCGTGCCACACCCAAACATTTTACCCTTCC